ACAAGCAGAATGCCCAACCTCCGACACAGTAGAGCGTAAGAGAGGTCAACACCACCTACACAACTGGCCATAAGCAGTACTGCCCAATGTACCCAGCGCTAAACGCAACACAAATACATCCCTCCACACTGGCCTCTGCCTATTACCCAAACTTCCTACCAGCATGGCGGTCAGCGCCTTCGCAGCAGCCTCCGGCGGGTAACTACAGGTCGGAGGCAAGCCTGACCTACATAAACCCAAAACCTCCCCACATAACCTACCTCGAAACAAATCCACCGGCAGAAAACCAAATCAGGTTCGAGCCTCCGCCGCAACAGCACCACATGCAGCAACTGCCTCCACCGCCACTTCACAACCAACCAGCAGCACCAAAAAATGAGCCAAACCCAGAAAACCAAGTCAACCCCCATGGACTGCTACCAACAATAGGCATGATACTACCAATCGCCGGAGGATCATCAATGGAGTTTCAAACGAAAAAGCAGAAAAAGGATCACCTCCGCCTGGTAAACAACATAGCAGTCCAAGGCCCAGCAAAATACACAGATTGGTCTAGAGTCCCAATCACCTTCACAGAATAAGATCTCCAGCTAGAAAGCTACCCTCACACAGATGCAATGGTAATCAAGACCAACATAGCAGCATGGGAGATAAGCAGAGTACTGATTGACACTGGCAGTTCAGCAGATATCATCTTCGCAAATACCTTCGACCAAATCAAGCTCAGCAGAAATTAACTACAGCCCTCCGAATCCCCTTTGATAGGATTTGGAGGCAAGCAGATACAAGCATTAGGAAAAATCTCACTCCTAGTGTCGTTTGGAACCCAAGCAAATGCTAGAACCGAGTACATAACCTTCGACGTCGTCGATCTGTATTACCCATACAATGCCATCTTGGGCAGAGGCATCACGACTAAATTCAACGCAGCCTTGCATATGGCCTACCTGTGCATGAAAATACCAGCACTCCATGGTATTATCACAGTCCGAGGCAGCCAGAAAGAAGCAAGAAACATAGAAAAAGCAATCTACAGAGCCCAAAGAAACATCAATGCAGTCGAGTCGGCAGACAAAAAACTAGAGCCTCCGGATATGCCCAGAGGAAAAACGGATATGGCAGGTCAAGAAGAGACAAAGGTGACCCCTCTAGAAAAGGAGTTACCAGACAGAAAAGTAACAATCAGCTCAGAGTTGAGCAAAGCAGAGGATGAAGAGCTCATGGAAACTCTAGTAAAAAACAAAGACATCTTCGCCTGGTCAGCCTCCGACCTGCAGGGAGTCAGCAGGGACATCATACAACATGAACTGGATATCAATGAAAACATGAGGCCGAGAAAGCAGAAACAGAGAAAAATGTCGGAGGACAGGATCCTGGCAGCAAAGGCGGAGGTGCAAAGGTTGCTAGATGCAAAAGTCATCAGGGAAGTCAAGTATTCAGAATGGCTTGCAAACGTAGTACTGGTACCAAAGAAGAATGACAAAATGAGAATGTGCATAGATTTCACAGATCTGAATAAAGCTTGCAAAAAAGACCCTTTCCCATTGCCAAGAATAGATGCCTCCGTCGACAAGGCAGCCAGATGCCAGAGGTTTTCTCTCCTCGACTGTTTCTCTGGGTATCACCAAATCTGGATGAAAAAAGAAGACGAAGACAAGACAAGTTTCACCACTCCATTCAGGACATATTGCTACACCAGAATGCCAGAGGGCCTCAAAAATGCCGGAGCAACCTTTGGAGAATGACAAAAGAAGTTTTGGGCTCACAACTAGATAGAAACATCATAGCCTACGTCGACGACATAGTGGTCATGAGCAAGAACAAGGATGATCATGTCTCCGACTTATAGGAGACCTTCACCAACCTCAGGACAGTCGGCCTCCGCCTGAACCCAGAAAAATGTATATTTGGAGTTACAAAAGGGAAGATGCTCGGATACATCATAAGCAGCGAAGGCATCAAAGCGAACCCAGACAAAACCAGAGCAATAATGACAATGGCAGAACCCAAAAACAAGAAAGAAGTGCAAAAGCTGACGGGAAGAATAGCAGCGCTCAACAGATTCATCTCAAAATCAGTAGAACGTAGCCTCCCCTTCTTCCAAGCCCTGAGGGGCGGAAACAACTTTGAGTGGGGGTCCAAGCAGTTGGAGGCATTTCATAACTTGAAAGAGTATCTGGCAAACTCACTGGTGGTCTCCGTCCCAAAATCGGACAACCACCTATTGCTATATGTGGCGGCCTCCGACCATGCAGTCAGCGCAGTCTTAGTTCACGAGCTGGAAAAAGAATCAGGCAAAACTCAAAAACCAGTTTATTTTGTCTCAGAAGCACTGTCCGGAGCCAAGCTAAACTACACTGAGGTAGAAAAAGTTGCCTACGCAGTGCTGATGGCATCAAGAAAACTAAAGCATTATTTCCAAGCCCACGAAATCTCAGTTCCAACATCGCTGCCACTGCAAGACTTGCTCAGAAACAAAGAAGCCTCCGATAGAATAGGCAAATGGGCTACAGAGCTATCACAGTTTGGTATCTCGTATGTCCCTAGAACAGCAATCAAATCACAAGCACTAGCCGATTTTGTAGCAGATTGGACACCTCCGACAGAGCCCAAGATACAACCAACCACTCAAGGCTGGATAGCATACACGGATGGAGCCTGGGGCCAAGACGGAGCAGGAGCCTACGCCGTCCTAACGGCACCCTCCGGCATCAGACTAAAATACGCAGCAAGGCTAGAGTTCAAATCAACAAACAACATAGCAGAATATGAAGGCCTGATCCTAGCGCTCAGTAAAGCAAAGGCCCTAGGGGCAAAAACATTGACAGTCAAAACAGATTCTCAAGTGGTTACTGGCCAAGTAGAGAAAGAATACACAACAAGAGAGCCAGAACACATCAAATACCTATCTATTGTCAGAAATTTGGAGCGGAGATTCGAGGGCTTCACCCTGAAGCACATCCCAAGATTAGAAAATGTAGAGGCAGATGAACTAGCAAAAGCTGCGGCAAACAACCTGCCACTTCCACCAAACACTTTTTACCAGATCTTGAAGTCTCCGGCAACTGCAGAGACATCTAAGGCACCTAAGCCCATACTACACCTGCAAAATGAAGATTGGAGAAAGGCGATAACAGAATTCTTAGAAGGCAAAACAACCGAAGAAGATGAAGCAAAAGCAGCAAGAATACAGGCCAGGGCAAGAAATTACACAATCATAGATGGTGTACTGTACAAGAAAGGAGTAGTCCAGCCTCTCCTCAAATGCATATCGCAGAGCGAAGGCATAGAGTTGCTTCAAGAAATACACTCAGGAATTTGCGGGTCGCACATTGGCTCTAGAGCATTATCAACAAAGGCAATAAGGCAAGGCTTTTATTGTCCAACACACATACAAGACGCAGAGCAGACAGTCAGAACATGCAAAGCATGCCAAACATTCTCTCCCGGGCAGTCAAAACCATCGTCGGAGACCCAGCTTATACCTCCGACATGGCTGCTACAAAGATGGGGTATGGACTTGGTCAGCCCATTACCACCATCCCAAGGAGGAAAGCAGATTCATGATGAGTTGCGATGAGAATATTTTACAAGATGGATAGAAGCAAAATACCATTTGGCGAAGATAACCTTAGAAACTCGCTGGAAAATTCTTCTAGCAAAACATCATTTCTGATTGATTGTACCGAGGATTACGACGATGAGACAATGGAAAACAATTCGATTCAGAGAACTTCAAAGAATTCTGCAAAAGCATTGGGACAAAACTAGCCTTCGCCTCAGTATACCACCCAGAGTCCAATGGTGTTGTGGAAAGAGCAAAAAGAATAGTGTTTTCAGCAATATTAAAAACATTGCTAGGCCTACACAAAGGAAAATGGGTAGATGAATTACCCAGAGTGATTTGGTCACACAATACATCTATCTCAAGAACAACAGGAATCACACCATTCAAACTACTTTATGGAGAAGAGGCCATGATGCCAGAAGAAATCAAGCACGAAAGCCTCCGCACAACGAGACAGCTAATGTTGCAAGATGAAGAATATGCAAAAGAAACAATAGAAGCCATAAGACTAGAAGCAGTCGAAAACATTGCAAAATATCAGTCCCAAACCAAGAAGTGGAGAGACTCTCAGGTGGTAAGGAAAGACATAAAACATAGAGACCTCGTACTCAGAAGAAAACCCAACGCACAACTTGCTGGCAAACTGCAGCCGAAATGGGAAGGCCCATACACAGCAACGGTAGCAGGCCACCCGGGCTGTTTCCACTTGACCGACAGCGAAGGTGTCACGACAACCCACACCTGGAATATTGACAGCCTCCGCAGATACTACATCTAGGCAATGTACCAAAGGGCAACCTCCGCAAATAATAAGCGGAGGCCCCTCCGTTCATTTACCTTTCAGCTCTTTTTTTTTCTTCAAACCAAAAACATGTAAAAGAGCCTGTACTCTTTTCCTCATAGGGGAACTCCAAGCGGAGGTGAGGTTTTTCATGAGGCAGGCTCAATGTAAAAATCCTCTAGAAGTATAAAGAGGTAATTCCCCAAAAGATCGCTTGAAAAGTTCAAAACTGAAAGCGGCCAGCTCTAGCGCCGCAATATTCGGTGAACAAAAATAAGCACAGGTCCTTTCAAAGCGTCGGCCACAGGCATTGGCAATTTGAAACGTCCTCTATGGCCAAACTGGCCTTCGACCTTGACAAAGACCTGTCCAAATTCAGGCATCAAGGCAGAAACCACCTAGGCTAAACTGGCCTTCGACCTTGACAAAGACCTGTCCAAATTCAGGCATCAAGACAGAAACCACCTAGGCCAAACAGGCCTCCGACCTTGACGAAGACCTGAACAAATTCAGGCATCAAGGCAAAAACCACCTTGGCCAAACAGGCCTCCGACCCTTGACGAAGACCTGACCAGATTCAGGCATCAAGGCAAAAACAACCTTGGCCAAACAGGCCTCCGACCTTGACGAAGACCTGAACAAATTCAGGCATCAAGGCAAAAACAACCTCGGCCAAACAGGCCTCCGACCTTAACAAAAAAACCACCGCAAGCATCAGGGGCAACACCATTATGGCGCTAGAACCAGGAAGAAGGTCTCCGCCATCGAAAACAGCAAAACGAGGAAAAGGTCTGACAAAACCCTGTCACTTAGGCACTAGGCCTATTTACTTCAAAAGATCTCAAAAGGCAAGAATAATTCAAGCAAGATATAGGCCATTAAAGCCAAGATAGGTTCCAACAAACAACGTACCAAAAAATTTAACAACCAAAAACCACCACCCCACTATAAAACGGGTTCCCCCCACGCCCTTAAAACCTCAGTCAGCAGAAGGCGCAAGAGGGGAAGAAGGAAGAGCACAAACACAAGCCACAGCAACGACCATGGAGGCGGGGGTCTCCTTAGATATCTAAGTCGGCCATAGATATTGTACGAAAACTCATAAAATCGGAGGCACTAGTAGACGGTCGGAGGTAGTGGGAAAAGAGACAGGAACTACGGCACGGTGATGAACAGTGCAGGCCTACGGAAGAAGGGGGATATCACACGAAATCTCGTAACATCCCCCTAACGCAGGAGACCTAACTTGCCATCTCCACAAATGAAACATGTCCCACAGGTGTGTGCGTGGCGTCGGAGGCCCATACCACCGCATGACAGCTAAAACACCCAAACTAAAGAAATACCAAAAGTCTTCGCAAATCTGCACAAGTCTGCGCCAAACCTCCTATCGGATCACACACCGATTCAAGCAAGCCTCGCCAGTGGACTTCTGGCACGCCTCACCGCCAAAAAACTGCAAACACTTCTACCCCGGCCATCAAGCAAGCACAGAGAAGGAGAGAACATGGGGCGGAGGTCCTGGCCACCACCTCTGTATCGTGCACGTTCGCCCAAGCAAAGGCCCACGGTGTGCAAGCTTGGGACTAGACGAGATATGTAAACAAGCACAACAGACATAAGCCCCCGCATAAACAATCAAGAAAGTGAACCTGTTTTGTATTCCATAAAACGTCAAGTAGCATTCTTACAGGACACAAACTTACAATAAAATCCAAACTATTGTGGAGGAGGTCCACGCCAAGCAAGAGCGCGAGTAAACCCAGCGCGCTCGTCGTCTATGTCAAACTTAACTGACTCAAACACGTCGCGCGCAACGCTGCGGGGAAAGGACGAATGCCAATACTCCCAAAGCTCTCCGCTCACATAAATACCGTCGTTGTAGAGAGTCAAAGGCGCAACATGTTGCGCAGGCTCCCGATTCGGAACCTACGCAAGGTTAAAATTTTCCACAAAATCATTCAGAAGAAAAGAAACTTTATTTACAAGAGTCCAACTGGACTACAATATACAAGTCAAAACAACTAAGTCCTACAAAGAGCCTAGACCTCCGGTGCATCGGCCGCAGCAGAAGTCCCTAGAACGGAGCCCTCATCAACTGTGGGTGGGGACGGCGCCTGCGGCCTCTGACCATCACCGCCATCGATCGTAGAGCCCACCGGAGCGCCAGCGGCGGTGGAGGCGTCGCCCGCGGTCGCCGAACGCGGGCCTAGCGGAGGCCTGCCCGCAAGACTCTTCTGTGCATCCTGTGGCACAGGCAATGAAGGCCTTCGCAGCTTCACAAAAAGCAAGGAGAGAAAAATAGTGGCTACAAAGACTAGAAATACCTTCACCCTCTTTTCCTCCACCAGTTTCCGGGCAGCAGGTCTCCCAAACGGAGCCCAAAAGTACATAATGAAATTTCTCAAGGTTTTTCGCAAACCAAGAGAAGTCTCACCGAGCTCCTCCGGACCCGGTAGCGCTCCCTCCGGAATACTTTCGGTATACGTGCACCCACCGTGCACCAAAAGCTTGGCGGAATTCGCTACTCCCGCCATCGCCCCGTAGTCCGTGTAGCCATTGATCAGACCGGGGAGCTTTGCAAGGTGACGCTTTAGCCAGGAGGCGAGGGCGTAGACGTTGTCTTCCTCCGGAGGAGCGGAGGTTTCGCCTCCGAACTCGGCGACGATGGCCCGATAATGGCCAATGGTTGCAGCAAGGACCCCCTTGACCGAGTCCAAATGCCTCGTTGACAAAGACAGCTGCTCCCCCATCGTAGCCGCGGATTTCTTCCCAGAGGCCAGCTCTCGCCGGAGACCCTCGGCCAACTCGTTCGCCCTGCGGGCCTGCTCGGCAGACAAAGCTTCCGCATCCCGGGCCTTGGCGAGATCGGCCCTCAAAGCCTCCATTTCTTGTTCCTTCTCCGCCAGAGAAATGCGGAGAGCTGCAAGGGAGTTGGCCAAACCCCCTTTTTCACCTTCCAGGCGCTCGTTCTCCGCCTTGAGGGCCTCAATCACAGTATCTCGGTCGGAGACCACGCGAGTGCAGCGCTCTTCCATAAAAACGGCCATGTGATACCCCTGTGATCAAAAAGAAGAAGACCAAGGCGATCAGCAATAGAAACAAAAACAAGTCTAAAGGCAAACATACACCAAAAAAGGCAAATAGCCGAAGACGCACCAAGCTCTGGTGTTCTAGATGAACACGGAGAAGTTAGAAGAAATCCATGTCCCTCAGACGTTGTTTGAAGTGATCTGTTCAAAGAAGAACAAACAAACACAAAACAATAAGGTGAGAAAAGCAAATCTCACAATAAATACAACAACTGCCAGAGACCACCTCCGATGTCTCCAAGAACCCCAAGATAGCACTCTTCCCAACCTGAGATAGAAGTGTCGGAGGAGCCTGCGTAGCAAAGAAAAAAACACAACAACAACAACAACTCAGGTCAGAGGGCCGATCAGAAATAGGCAATAACAACAGGCCAAAAGACGAGTAAGATAAAAACACTCTATACTCACTCGGACCCGGCGCCATCAGCCCCGGTTGCCCCGGACCAAACCTGACGCTGGCAGCGGCCACTCGCTCCTCCGGGGTGAGGAGTCCAGCCATGACATCACCTACAAAGCAACAAGTACACGGTATTAGCACTTGGTACAATACATAAACAAATAAACCGGGGGCGAAGACAGTAAACACAAAAATATGCGCCAAACAAACTTACTCATAAAAAGCCTAGGCTGGGCCGCCTGCCGAGCCCCCTAGGCAGATGTCTCTGCCATATCATGCGGCGAAGGCCCAAAGGGCCGGCTCTCCTCAGCCAGCGGCCTGGCGGGTAGAGGGCTCGAAGAAGACTGAGCCGCCGGCGCCTGCTTAGCAAGCACGGCCTCCGGCTGCCCGACGTCTGCCACTGGTGCGGAGGAAGGCGCAACAACGGCAGGAAACGAAGGAGCGTGCTGCAAGGCGACCTCCGCGCCATCTTCAGAACTTGAATACAGCCCGCCAAAAATGTCAGGCATAGGACCGGCGGCGCTAGCCTCCGGCTGTTCGGCGACACTCGCAGCACCGTGCAAGGAGCACGCCGGAGTAGCGTTGGCCTCTGGACGCCTAGCACCGCTCACAGCGCCGCTCACAGGGCGCACCGGAGCTCCAGGAGAGCCACGATCCTCGCTGCTCGCAACCCGCACGTCCACTGACAGGACAGAGGAGCTCTGAACGTCTTCACTACCGGCGGAGGCAACGCCAGCACTACCAGCCGAAGACGCGGCCGCCGCGATCACCAGAGCATGGGTCTTCTTTCTTCTTTTTCGCAGGCGCTTGAGTTACAGTGGTGCCCTTCCTCTTCTTGGACTCGGCCTCCGCCGTAACATTCTTCGTGAAGGCCTTCTTCTTCTTGTCAATTGAAGCTAGGACCTCGGCGGGAACCTCGCGCTCCCGGTAGACGATCCCGAGCTCCTCAAAAACACGATTGAGCTGCGGCATGGTGCCTGCCACGGCTCTCCGAGACGTGTACTCACACTCAGAAATTTTGCCAACCAACCCGACGATGGCCTCCTCAACGTCGGCAACGAAGCTGTCCTCCGTCATCCCCTCCCCTAAAGACCGGCCAAAGCAGGGGAAAGGAATCCCGGCCTCTGGACCAAAAACAGGAACCTTCACCTTTTCCAGCCGGAAGGCCAGGTTGTCCTTGCCCAGGGGCCAGTAGTTGGAGGCCATAATCTCCTCCACCAGGTCGCGGCCCCCGAAGTAGCGGCACGCAGCCGCAAAAGCCCGGTCGCAAGCCTTCCTCGCCGGAGACTTTTTCTCCGGCGGATCCACGCGCGTATGCGGCGCCATCTCGTCCATTCTTGAAGTCAATGGATACTCCACGACCTCCGCACCATCCTCGGTAGGCCGCGGACCCCATAGGTCTTCACGTAGAACCAGTGCTCAAGCCAGCCGCGGTCCCACTTGCCCTTCTGGCAAAAAGAAAGCTCCAGGCGGTCTACGCCTTGGTGACTCTTCGACATAAAGGTGCAACTACAATACTGGTAGGTCACCTCCACCTCCTTGCCCTCCCGCACCTCCTTCTTCTTCTTCGGCTGCTTCTGCAGCTCGTAGTACGCGCAGAAGGTGTCCACATCCGGCTCGGCACCATAAGAAACACACGCCCAGCAAAATTTGCTGAGCGTAAGGAAGGCCGTAGGGGTCAGATGGTGAACCTAGACGTTAAACGTCTCCTACACCCGGCGGAGGAAGGGGACGTAAGGAAGGCGGAGGCCGCAGGTGAAAAAGTCCCGAAACACCACCGCATACCCCTCCTCCGGCTCCGGAACGGTCTGGCCGGGCGGAGGGATGTTTACCCTCAAAGAAGGAAAATACGATTCCTTCGACATCTCCGCGACCGCCTCTTCAGTAATGGAGGAGGGGCCGAAATCCCATGACTTTATCGCCATGTCTCTGGAATCCGCAGCGATCAGGTCTCCGACGGACGCGGAGACACTCCCCAAATCCTCCTCCACCAGCTTTTCAAATTCCAACACGGAGGCGGAGGCAAGCATGCACTCCTCAAAGCGCGCACTCCAGCAGGCGGCCCTAACGCCGAGAAGGTGGCGATAGGGTCCGAAGAAGGCGGGCCGGCGAGTATGGGCGGAGGCGGAAAAGGAAGCCACCGCGGCGGCAGCCTAGGCGGAAGACGCAAGCGGAAAGACGGAACGCGCGAAGGCAACTCAGGCGAAACCAAAGAGAGCAGAGAGCGATTTCTCAGAGGCATGGAATGCGAATGAGCAGTGCGGGGGGGGGGGGACCCCGCAACCAACCTCGCCGTTATATAGGGCGCGGGTGGGCGGTTCGGCTACCGCCGTACAACGATCATCTCCGGACAATTCGCCTGCCGCCCAACGGTCATCTCCAAAGAAGTCGCAAGGTATACAATGGAAAGCAATACGACGTAAATGGCCATAGCGTAGGACAACAGCTAGTTTTGCAGCCTAACGGCTACTATGACAAGACCAGCGGCCACGCCAGAGCGGGCCAGGGGGGAACCTACGGGGATCGGTCGGAGACGTGACTACGCGCGGTCTCCGCCCCCGCGGACGTCCTTGCTTAGGGCGTTTTGAGTTCACGACACGCTCGGGCGGACCGTGGTCTCAAAAGGGGGGAACTGTTGTAACACGACCTCCGAGAGTGGCGGAGACCTACGCGGCCAGCAGTTCGCAGAGATGTCTCCGACCGACTACCTAAGCAAAGGCCCAGCTACCATGCCTCTAGACCCAGAAAGATGACGGTTTCTCAGACTGCTTGCAGGACGCCGCCGGTGACCCTGGCGCAGCCTCCGCCCGGTTAGCTCGTAGGCGTCTCCGGCCGGAGGGGGCGGAGGCCGCCCCGCTGCAAGGTTAATCAAGTGCCAACGTTATCTACGTGTGTGTGCAGGTAACCAGAGGAAGGCGCTCGTGGACAGCGCGGGCGCGCCGGTTCGGCCCCCGCTCGCAGGGGCAGAGACCCAAGCAGGAGGACGACAATACTGGGCGTCGGGGGTCTGCGGCCTCGGTGTCCCAGGGGCGGAGGCCTAAAGGCCCATCGCTGAATCCTAAGGCCTGATGGGCCGGCTGATCGCGCAGGCCCAGTACCTGAGGGCGGTAAGACAAGATTACCCCCGAGAAGAAAGGCGAGTAGTGGGATATTCCGAAAATGTACTGTAGCAGTTGAAGGGTACTATTGTAAACTATGTAAAAGTGGTAGTTGAGCCCTATAAATAGGGAACACTTGTAACAGTACGGGAGGTTAGTGAATGAATTAATGAAACTCTAGTTTTACGTGCCATTTCTCTACACGCCCGCTTGTCGTGTCTGTTTCCTGAGCCTCAGCCTGAGGGCTGCGTTTGGCGGGCGGAGGCCTCCACCTCCTCCACATTGTCTGAGACCGCAAGTCTCAACCACCTGGTAGTTGCTGTTGCCGCCATGGTTTACTTTTTCGGCCGAAATCTCCTGATATTTTCGATATATCCTTTTTATCCGTAGGTGCCGATAAGAAAATATCTATCTTTTTCATATAAATTTTGTTTAAATTTACTTAAATTCAAATTAAAATTTATTTGGATTTGGTCCGATATTTCAGATATATCCTGTTTATCCTCTTTATCTGTGACCCTCGATAAATTTTAATTTCCGGAAATGAAAACCTTGGTTGCCGCTGCAGGCAGTGTTGTCGTTGGGAAAGAGGTAGGCGTCGGGGCAGCTGGAGCTGCCACAGTTGAGGGTCGCGCCGGTGCTGCAGGAGAATCGCATGGCGAGGTTGTAGCTGTCGATCACCGAGATGTAGTAGAAGTCCTGGCTGCCGCCGAGCGTGAACTCGGCCAGCGTCATGGGAGGCTTCCCGGAGAGCGTGCAGGAGAGCGCGCCGGCGCAGTCGCCCGTCTGGTAGCTCCCGCTGTTGCCGTTGAAGGAGCAGCCCGTGCGGCCCCACACGCGGCCGGAGCTGGTGCCGGCGGGGACGAACAGGCTCCACGTCTGCCCAGGGTCCAGCCGCCGGCCCCCACCCACCGGGGTGGCTGCTGGCCACACCGTGAAGACGCAGTTGTTCCTGATGGTGAAGGTGGAGGCGCTCGCGCCGGCCACAGAGGTGGCGGCAAGGAGCAGCAGGAGGATCGAGGACGAGGAGGCCGCCATTGGTGCTAGCAGCTTGCTTCTTTTTGCTTTGGAAGTGGAGGGAGTATGTGTGTATTTATAGGTGGCCGGCCAGACTGAGTTAGAAAAGTATAACTGTATAAGAGCCAGCGCAATGCATGACAATAATGCCCTTGTTTGTTGGAGAAGAACGATAGACTGAGAATGCTGAGATGGTGCCAACGATTGCCAATTGGAAAGTGCCACCCCATGAAGTTGATTTTCGTGGTGGCTAGCTCTGTCGATGAGCCACTTCACAATCCGTACGAGTATGAACGCGCACCCAACCGAAAATCCAGCTTCAGTGACAATGACAGTGGAAATCATGTGTAGGTTACATGCAGCGATAAAGAGTAATACTTTTATTAAAATCATAATCATATTTCTAAATTTGGACTTATTTTTGTTTCTAAATCAACACCGTGACATCTTAAGTTTCTCGCGTAAATTTGCTTCTCGCATGAAGCCGACGTCTCCACCAACCATTGTTCACGTAGACGAGCGTCTAGCCGAAACCAATACTCTAGTGTATATCTTGGCAACGATTGCCCAAGATTTGCATTGACTGCCGTGTTTCGTGTTTGTTAGAAGTTGTGTCAGATAGTTCATGCATCTAGATATGTGATGAAAAATCAGTCCACTTTGTCCAAGACAACACACATTGGTCATCCAAGATATTATTGCTTGTTCAATGGATATAACTTCGTCAAGAAGGCCACGTTCAATGTGTAGAACTAGTACGAAAGGGACAAGCTTGCGCATATGCCCTTGTCGACCGAACATAAGAAAAGATTGTTTTTCTCTCTGAAAAATTGTAAAGGTTATCGCAAATTAAGTATATACGTACATACGTGATTGTGCTATGTTTGTCTAGATATATATATATATATATATATACCGATCCAAAATAGCCTTCAATTTCCGCACTGCATGCCGCCAAATTGTGTCCTTGTGCATCCTTAATTATTATTCTTGATCATGACGAAATCTTTGGCTCGCGAACGACAAGTCCACGAGTCAGCAGTCAACCCTATGCAGACCTAGAGATGGTGCTAGTCACCTCACATGTCTGCATCAAAAAAAGTTTTTCCTCTCTTTTTCCACGTATGTACGTAAATATCTGCAAACATTAACTTTTCATAGGATGAGCATGTACGTACAAATATATACAATCCGCTCCAAAAAAAAATGTTGAGATGCATATGGCGCATGCATAACTTCATATATCTCTTTTAATTAGTGGTTTATTTCTTAATTAACAAAGATCATCTTCAACAAATAAGGTTCACACACAGGACTTATTTTTATTGAACAGTGAAGATATCCTGAAAATCCTAATGTTGGGTACTGTGAACGAAGCGAGGGATGACTTGCTTTAATTTTGTGCCCGATCATAACCAATTACCGTGCAATTCCTTATCTATATCTATCTATCTTTTATAAAGCTAATCCTCACAAAAGTTGTATCTAAACATGTAAGCTATCCACATCATTTTCTACTAATTACCCACATCATCTTCCACTAATACTCATGTCATCCCACTAACTTTCAACTTCTTAATACAAGATATCCACATCATCTTTTCAAATGGTAGGCTGATTTACCATATCCTACCTTGAATGAATGAATTTCTTATCTGTTGGATTAGTTAATGTTGTTTGCATGATTTGGATAAAAAATTCTTCAAACAACACCGCACGTATTAAGTTCATCTGAGCTTGTCGTTGCATAAATGTCATACACGTCTAGCTATATTAAAAGACCCCTGTTAGTGGAAACCAATAAAAGCAGAGAGAGCTAGTGCAAATGTCGGGTGCCGCAGCAGCTAATAGGAATCAAAGCAGAGTTGCGCTAGCAAATGTCGAGTTTTAGCCTGACGTTAGTTGAAACCCTATTTTTTTATTTCTAATAACCACCACCATAGTATAGATTTTCGGTCAAAAAAAATTCTAGAGATGGGCAGCACGTCCGTTTCACCGACAATGTCATTGTCACTACTACAAAAGTGATTTACGAGGCACTACCCAAATATTAACCGAGGCAGTCACAAAATCCAACCACCTCCTAAAATACCAAATGATTAATAGAGGCGGTCGTTTTATTTATGGAGGCGGTCATATTTACCTGTCTCGTGAAATCGATTTACAAAGACGGTTGTTTTATTTACGGAGACGGTCAAAAATAACCACCTCGGTAAATCATTTATGGAGGCGGACATGTACAAGGCGTCCACCTCCAAAAATCAGGCCCAGGCGACTAACAGCCAGCAGGCCATTACCAGCCTCGACTATATAATGAAAACCTAACCCTAACCCACTACCTGCCTATCTCTCCCTTTCTTATCCGCGCCGCGCTCTCAGCTCTCTAGGTGGCGCATCTTCTCTCCCTCTCCTCCAGGCGGTGCATATTCTCTCCCTCTCTCCCCTCGTGCCAGGTGGTGGAGGCGCCGACGGCAGGGTCCACACGTGCCGGCGGTAGGGGCCGCGCCTGCCCCTCCTCTAGAGATGGTGCACGGGGCCGATGGCGATGAGGGCTCGAGGCCAGTGGCGGCCAAGGCTAATGGCTCCCCCACACTCGGATCCGGTGTGGATGGAGGGCAAGCTAGCGGATCCGGTGGCGGCGAGGGCTCGGGCAGATCTGGTGGCCATCTCCCTCCAGACAAGGCAGCGGGGGCCTTCCTCTCCCTTGAGCTCCTCGGTAGCGGCTCTGATAGTTGCAGCTTTGGGGGCCCCGGATCCGGCGGAGGCGTCGGCTTCGGGTGCCCTAGATCCGGCGGCGGGCCCTCTCCCGGTGGTAGATCTGCGCCCTCTGCCAGTGGCGGGCCTTGGCCCGGCGGCAAATCCGGTGGATGGCGGTCCCGATGAGCGGCGGTGTGCACGCGCGGATCCTGCAGCCATGGATGGTCTCGGCGAGCCCATGGATGGGCTCGGCAGGCTTGTCCATGGGTTTCTCTTTTTCATTTTTTTATTAGAATTACCGAGACGGGCATTTGAACCACCTCGGGAAAGATTGATTTACCATGACCTTTAAACCGAGGTGGTTGTGATGCCCACCTAGGTTAATCCATTTCGCTCGCCTGCAAAAAAACATTCTGTAGTAGTGTGTTAATCAAAATTTCATGAGATGGGTTGCGAGCCTGAGCCTAAGCCTGAGCCCATCAACGCAGTTGCTGCCACCATCCCACATCATCGCTGGTGCTGCCTTCCTCAACGTCGCCACCTCACAGATCGGAACCGGCGGCAGCCATTCTCATTGCCGCCTCCTAGCAGATCCATGCCGGCGGCCCTCCTCACCGCCGACTCCTCGCAAATCTGGGACATCTGCCCTCCTTGCTGCGGCCTCCTCGCAGATATGCGCAGGAGCTCTGAGGCCATCCTCATCGCCGCCTCCTCGCATATCCCCACGCACACGCTGCTCCTGGAACAGCCCTTGCGGCCCCTGTTCATGCATCGCTGCCTGAGGACCCCCGTGAGGCCCCACTTGTGCCGCCGCCACCCGAGGCCCCGGTGTGCCCCCTCGTGAGAGAACGAAGCAAGTGGAGACCTGAGAAAGGCGGCTATGAGAGAGAGTCTGTTGATTGTCCAAACCCTAACTCAGTATATTTATGTGAACATAGTTAATGGGATAAGATGTTCGTCTCTAAAAATAGGCATCATTTTCAGAGGTTGATTGATTTATCGAGATGGGTTCTTTTTGTGGTACCTTCATAAACGGGCTGACTGCCTCCATAAATCACTCGGCATTTTGAGAGACACAAGAGCATTTTATGTCCGCCTCTGTCTCGTAAAATTGTTTTTGTAGCAGTGAACAGTGATATCAACATTAACCAAGAACACAAAAGAGCTAACAACCTAGCATATATATATATTGTCAAAAAGGGTGGGCGCAATATCGATCAATGGCACCAAAAGAGATTTTGTAGAAGATAGAAAAAAAAGGATCATCATGGACCATATTCCTTCCCGGCCATATCTAGCACACTACTACAGAAATGAACTTGCGCAGCGTTGCATAATTGGGCTCCGTGGCGGGCACCTCTTTTGCCCGCCACGGTAATTCGGTGGCCGGCCGGCCACTGAGACGCCCGCTGCGGTAAATGATTTACGGCAGCGGGCAACCTTATTTGCCCGCTGTGGTAAATCCCCATTTACCGCAGCGGACATCTTAACGCGTCTGCCCGATAGTTGTCTTCATATATAAACCAGCACTTAGGGTTCCCTTTCACTGCTCTCACCCCCTCGCCCTCCCTCTCACTCTTCTCAGACGCGGCCGCACTCCCTTCCCACGCGTTGCATCCTGAGAGACGAGCCCCTCTCCCTCGACCCCCACCCCTACACTCCCCATCCTCTATCTCTCCCGGCGGCGGCGGTGCTCTTCTCAGCCGTGGTGGCGCGGCTCGCGTGGGCGGAGGGCGGCGCGGCTGCTCGCGCGGGCAAAGGGCGGTGCCATGGCGCGGCTCGCGCGGAGGGAGGACGGCGCGTTGAGGCGGCTCGCGCGGGCGGAGGTTGTCGCGGCGGCCCGTCCTCCACCAGGCTACAGCGGCGCGGCGTCGTCTCGATCCGCCTCCAGCGACGGCCACGGCGGCGGATCTGCCCCGGCGAGGGCATATCTGGCCCCGGCGATGGTGGATCCGGACCCGGCGGCTCCACGGCGTCGATCCGGCCACCAGCGGCTCCACGGCGTCGATCCGGCCACCGGTGGCTCCACGGCGTGAATCCACATCTGGCGCCGCTCTCCCGGCGGCTGGTGGGCCTATCGACGGCGGATCCAGCGAGGTGGAGCTCAAGGCGAGCTCGCATCGGATCCCGGCGGCGCTAGGGTTTTGGACTATTGGGTTGGAAACGGGCTCGCCGGTGGGCTGAGAATGGGCTCGCTGGCGGGCTCCTGGTTTTTTTATGTTTTTTAAAAACATTAAACGCGGCGGGCAAAGCCGCCCGCCGCGGTTAAGCCACGATTTACCGTGGCCTCTAGGCCGCGGCGGACGGCTTTGCCCGCCGCGGAA